TATATATATTTGTATGTATGTATATAGATATGTATATATATATTTATATATATATATATATAATATGATGAAAACTTGGGGGTGCTTCACAGTTCACACTATACTTTGAAAGCCCATGCTTAAGTTGAATAATATGCAATGCTGAGTAGATTGTGTCTATACCTTGAGAGTCAAGAGTGTGAATATCGTGAAGTGTAGTAAATAGATTGTCAATAGAGTGTAGACTAAATAGATAGATAGCTCGTAAATATTGTTTTGGACGGGCAGCTATGCTTTTGAAATTGTAAATAGACTATGTAGTAGTAGACGGTAGTAGTCAGAGGACGGGAGAGTCCGGTCCTAGAACAAGGGCACAGGACAGCCCTACCTCCGGACCTTAGGAAAAAGACGACTCGCATGTTAGTGACTGCGAGATACCAGGAGCCTGAGACTCCTGATTGAGACTATCAAGCCCCCCCTTGGGTCGACCCTTTTATACGCTGGTTCTAGCGAGGCTAGCCCCACAAGCATAGTTTCACGATAGTAAACAACGTGTATCGTTGAGTTTACTACAACTAAACTATACTAGCCAATTTAGTGAAAAGAAGTGTTCAATGAAGTGTAAGTGTAAAGTACACCATGATTAGTTTTTTACTGCCTAGTTATACTTCTGTGGCCCAGTCCCTCGCCACCTACTATGGAAAACTTTGAATGCCAACGTTAATCTGCTTCTCGCTATTGGAGAAGGCCAAGTTTTCACGAAAATGTACCTACATTGTGGCGGATGATGTCAGGGTCAACTTACTGCTCCGGCACGTTGACCAGGCGGTCCAGATGAAGATGATGACGGAGCTTGGTTTTGGTGCCACAGTAGCAATAATTGAACGCTATCTCATTGCGCACTATGGTGCATCTGCACACCTGTGCCGCCTGGGAAATGTTTCCCACAGTGTTCTGGTTACTGTCTGGCGGAGAACGCTAATCCAGAAACCCCAGATGCAATCTCCATGGGGGATACTGGCATCGGCATGCTCGAGGCGGCCGGATTAGGGTATAGTCTTTGTGCCAACCAAGGCAACCACCGATCGGTACCTTTCCACTAACCGCCCCCGACGCTGACCTCAGCTACGTCATCACTCATCGTCACATCACACCTGATGACAGGGCACGATACCAACTCACCCCACACGAGCCGCCAAGCAACAAGCGTGACCGCTCACTCAGCGCCCACGATCGACCTCGCTATCGCTCTGTGCTTCAGCGTTCGCAAGCGCGTGGCAGGCGACAACGCTCATGGCCATGCCATAAAATACATCGTACACACTCGGCCTACTCAGCACTGCCACCTTCCAGGCCCAGTATGTTGCGGAGTACACCAGCCGTCGTGTCAAAAGCTACACGGCGCCCCCAACCCCACTGCCTGCGACAGTACACGAGGCCCCCTCCAACAGTAGCGCCCACACCAACCCCTTCTGCCCAAGCATACACTGCTCCGGTGACGGAGACTGTAATTAATCATCGCTGAACACACCACTAAGTACTCACGTCAATGTAAACGTGGCAACAGGTACGGATGACAGCAGAAGGGGCCAGGATCGCGATCGTACGAGTCCAACCGAAACCAACGCTACGATCGTGAGACACACACACAGCGGGGACGTACGGAATTTGGAAGTACCCCGACACACAATCGTATAGAAAACGAGTTCCTGCCCTGACATTATACGATTTGAGTCATTTTGGGTTTTAGGAAACCCTTAACCGAATATGACATCGAGATGATGCCTACCCTGACCTCTTGATGATTGAGACATGGCTACGCGACCTGTTGATTCATCCTCAATTATCGCCCCCTGAGTGCGACCCATGCACCTTCGCAGCCCCATTGAGATGGCAAATGCGAATGACTAGAGATATCGTCCAACTCCATGTCTCACTCATCGCTCATTGGGCCGATTTCATTTTCACTGCACTCGGTCGCTGGCGACCTAGGCAGAGTGCTCTCTGCACATATATCTACCTCCACTAGCGCAATTTCTGATTCTCACGAATGATGCTGATATATGCACGTATCTTCCATACGTTTGGTATATATGCCGGCTAGACATGTCTGGACCACCTCCATACAAATAATTGTGTCCATATAGCCACTTCCAACTACCAAGGCTCTTTCGACATGGGAAGTCATCGTGCGAGATATTTACAGGGATGCCACAAGCAAGACATGTTCCACAACCAGGCAGTCATGCCGCAAATGTTCACATCCATCGACGCACGTGAGGTTCTCCTCCTGGTTTAGCACAAGGCCTTGTCAGAACTCCACACGTACTTGAAGGAATCACGTACGGCTCTGCGGACGTTCATCACAGCAGCCTACACGGGCGAACTCAAGGGGGACATTCTTCAAACATTTTTCGGTATGTACAGGTCTACATACGCGGCAGTCTATACACCAGAATGGGCTCGGGAGACTCCGTGGCTTGGGCTACCGTAACGAGGGTGACCGTAGCGACTATACTCGCGGACAATCCCTGCATCATGACTCTAAGGTCGTCTGCGGACGCTCCTACAATAGACACCGCTCTTCATCCACTGGTAGGGAAAGCCAATATAATTCCGGCCGTGACGCGTGACAACCGCAATGGTCCTGGATGACGTTATTCCCAGGACTCAACGCGCACAAACATTCACATATGTACCAAGTGTCGATTCCGTCACTTAGACAAACTCTGCCCAATGTGCCGTATTTGTAAGCAGACAGGTCACTACTCGAGGCGCTGCCCTAACAAAGTGACCTCGGTTTGATACTCCCCGTAAACATTGACAGAGGGGAGGTACAACTACCACACACCCCTAGCTCGCCCATGAGCCATCACTACGACGGTAGATTCACTGTCTTTGTATACGATATTGAGCACAACCACTCACCCAACACTGAACACGATGGCACACAAATGAATACTCCCAGCAACGGTGATTGGATAGGACCTGTAGTACATGCAGCATAAACAGAGGTTGACTTTGTATGTGTTGACACCGGTTCAAAACCAGTCATGCCTTATCTTCCTTTGTCGAGCGACTTATCTTCGGGGTACAAATGGTTTCACCAGTTATTTACGAGGGTTCGGGAGGTTGGGGGGCAGGCAACCCCTGAAAAAAACAGGTCACATCTGCCCTAGTACTGAACGTAAAGGCACCGAATGACACCCCGACTCTGTAGGAAATCAAACCGGTTGCTTTCGTTGTCTCTGTCTTGCTACCCAGAGACTGTGAAGCTTTATCCGGGTTTGATCACCTCTAAGATAATCTTAATGGATCTTTTGGGACCAATCAATCAACCCCTGAAGTTTCAACTCGAGCTCCCGAGGGAAGTGCCCTGTTGGTTTTCGTATCTGAAGAACTGACGAACATCGGCCTTCCTCAATATGACCCGCGCGCCACGCTATATCAATGATGTCTTACTGCAGCTATATCTGAAGGAAGAAGTCCGTCCAATCGGTACGTAATCAGACCCGGTTTTCAGAGCATTGGAGATCGCAAATATGGAACGTAGCTATACGGACGCTATAGCCGAAGAAGTAAAGTAATACAGTCAATGAGCTAGTTCTGTAAGGATAGTACAGAACGATTCCAAGGTGACTTGGACATATGTGGATCGCTACTGGGTATTCTTGACTACACAGGGGCTACCTTACATCCACAACAGCTGACAGACACTTTCAGCAGCAACGTTGCCTTATGGAGGGGGTTAATAATGAGTTGAGCTATGCTATGCAACACTACATGGACACAACATTGTGTCTCACCAAGACATTCAAAGCATAGTACGTATCTGCAAAGAAATCGACATATAATTAGAACAAAAAAAGTACCAGTGGACTGTTAGGGTTCAAAATCCCTAAAGCTGCAGTAATAGTAGTGGCCAGAATTCACCTCTTGCCTTCGTTATATCGCCGGTGACTCAGGCACAGCCGAAGCAGTACAATCTTGATCAAACACTATATTTTAAATGGAAAAGGGATCCCTCAACATCGAGTTTATGTACATCCATACAAAGCAATAAAGTATTCGAAGCTGTATATTACATATATAGCTTGTTATATGCACACGGTGACACATTGATTTTTTTCTATATTATACAATACACATTGCTGATACATTTGACTGACAACCACATGCATTCGTAGTGGCTACTCTGGTACATCTATAGCACAATTTTCAAAATGCAGGATTCGAACTGCAAAGAGGTCAGAAAAGAAATAAAAAGCGGGGGGGGGGGGGGGGGGGGGTATTGCTTGAAATAAATATCGCCGCCTAATGTAGGATAAACATTACTATCCCTAATGTAGAGTTTGAAAGTCCCAGATAAGATATGGCTAAAGGAGATAATAAGCCTCTTATCAAGCGTGAAGCTCTCAGCTTGGTAAAGTCCTAGACTGCTGGCTTCACATTGAATCTTTTATTTGCTGTTTATGGTTCTTCACTAGACTCAAATTCTACTTGAGCGTTTCTCGCACACGCGGGGTCCCGATATCGTCTACCGGTTTTCTTGCTATATGTCTAATGACTCTAATATCATGAATTTTAGATCCAGACCCCAGGACTCGGTATTTGATAGTTCTGTAGTTTTTGGAATATTAGATTGGCTTCCTGATAATCTGGTACCTAGATGCTACAGAGTAGTGGTCGGGGTAGGGTCAATAGAGGGTTCTGAATTGGGGTCTGTTTGAGCGAGCTTGACACCGGGTCAAGTAGTTAATTCTGTAGCGCAGTGTATCTAACAAAATAGCTGTTCTGTACGTGTGGTAATGTAGTAGAACGTCTGTCTTAAACGAAATGTTTTCTGGTCTCCGGGGGACTCAGGGGAAAGTGATGGAGCAACCGACGCCTTGGAGGTAATTCTGTGCCATTGTGCCTTGTGCTTTTGTTGTATCCAGGTAAGTTGACCCGAGGAGTGGAGGCAGCCGCGGCATGATAAGTGTGTAATGCGGTTCTCAGCTAATTTGAGTGGGAAAATTACATATTCAAGATTAGTTAATGCTAGGTTTGCAGTTAGAAGTATGTAATTGACTGTATCCCCGTTTTCGATAAGAAGTGAGTCATCAGGTGGCGCGTTGGAGGTGGTGCGGGCTACTGGTATTGTTACTCGAGCAACAAATTCGACCAGGTGAGAAAATTTGTTTTTATTCGAGCGTTGGGAACAGACTATGTCATTGAGACCATGATAGTTACATGTGTGACAGGTACGTGTGGTGTTAGTGCAGTCATATTCAATATTAGTCTTGATACCGCATTTTCTACATCCCATGGAGCATACAGATAAGGTGCGGTCAGACTGGCAGCATACATATCATTTTATTTGACGAGGTGTTGCCTGTACATGAAGTCGGTTGGTTTGGGTTTCGGTAATCATGCGGACAAGGTCTTCGATTGCGTCATTGTATGGAGAGATATGCGCGACTGGTCTAAGATTAAGATAGCGTTGGGGTACGGGTGTGAAAAGCGTTGGGGTACGGGTGTGAAATGCGTTGGGGTACAGTCACTGCGAAAGTCTTCGTATATTTTTCAATGTTGTCATTTTATTTGAACGAGATATACATTATGAACTTGGGCTTGTTGGGCGGAGGGAAGACCGTCAATAAATAAATTATGTATGACTATAGGACCACAAGTGCTACTTTGGGCCTCAGCAGTCTGAATGACCTATTCACAAAGTTGAGACCAGTCTTGGAGGCAATCATTTGGGTCTCTGGTAAACTCAGATATGATTAGTTGGTAGTTTCCATGGGTGTGAACGATTGATGGAGACTGTAAGCTTGAGATGGAGTTTCTTAGAGAATGTACCAAGGAGTGCGTCCTAACGCTTTGATAGGAAAGGTCCTCTTTAGAAGCATCGATTATTCGAATATTTTGAGGGGAGGGAATGGCACTTCCGTGATATCAGCAAATGTCTGAGCAAGGTTGACCTGGGCTTGGGTTGAACTTCACAGAAATGGCATACGAGGGTATGATCCATCTATTGTATTGAGAAGTATTAACCATGCCTAGATTGGCATCTGATTCATTGGTGTTGAACCTATCAGAAGCGAGTAGGGTTCTGGCTTCAATAGCAATTTTAAAGATCGAGAGATAGAGAGTATGTCGAGATCGTCGAGTTGACTAGTCGATTGCCTGGTGAAATATTGCCCATAATCTATAGAAGCTTGTCAAAGAAATTTCAGTAAACGATTAAACTTTAGTACAATTTGTCATACTAATAATATATTAGACTAAAATACTTATAATCCAGCATGGTCCAACGGTGTTGCCATGCTCGAGGAGTGAATGAGAAAAACCTTTGGTGAGAAAAAGATATGTCAGCCGCTTAGAGTAAAAAGACCGATTTCCAAAAACAAAATAAAAAGCAAAACCCGTAAAGTCAGCCATTTGAGATCATAGGATTGGAAGAGAGTTTTACTCAATGTGCAGAGGATTGAAGAGGAGTTTTCTCTCTGTTCAGTTGAATGGAAGAGAGGCGTATTTATTGATGATTGATAGGCTGCTATTTTACTGAAATGCATGGAAAAGGATATATGAGAAAGTACAGTATAAGAGGGTGCTCTACCGAGTTAAATCCTTCACTCTACTAAAGATTATGACTACTAGAGTAATCGTTTAGTCAACCATATTTTTTAATGAATTATCGAGTTTGGTGGAAAATGTCATACATGGAAAAAGAAATATTGGTGCCAGTGTGAAGGCATGTGAGAGGTGAGCAGGTGACTGTGTTGTTGGTGAGGTGGACCTAAGGCGCAGAAGATCAAGGCATATGGGACTGCAGTGAAGAAGGGTGGATCGAGACCAGCGATCTTGCTGTTGCAAGAGGTGACACCGGATACCAGATTCAAGCTTGAAGCGTTTTTCAGTGGTCGAAAATTAAAGTGGTCGAAAACTAAAACTGAAAGAATAGAACTCTGTATTTAATCTTCAAGTATTTGTTTTGGTAAGTAGCCGGCGGACTTTGCGAAGTTGATTGGGGCTTGACGTAGTAAGCCGGACAATGTGGTTTCGGCTTTAAGAAGATTGATTGCCGTCAAAGAAGCTAAAAAGGTGGTGAAAGAGCAGAACGCTTTCAAGGAAATTATGTTTGAAGACGAAGGAAGCGAAGACAGCGAGATAGATACCAATGACAAGCAAGTGCGGGCCGCTACCAAGGCGTTATTGAAGGTTACCAAGGAGTTATTGAAGGCTACCAAGGTGCAGTATGTGGCAGTATGAGGATCTTGTTGAGCAGATACAAAAGAATGCATTAAAGTAAGGTCAGCATGGTTCTAGGTGGCTTGTGCCTTTGTTACGTGGTGACATCGGTCAGATTCTATGGTGGCACTGGCTGGCGATAAAGTTGTTTGAAGGAAGAAGATACTAGAGGATCTGAATGATCTGATGTCTTGTACATTCAGTTTGTTGAAAGCTTTGTTGATAGGAGTAAGGCAGATAAAAACATGGTGCTGAAGTTGTTTGAGAGAGGTGGTCTGGTTGACGTGTTAAATCAAAGGACATGCGTGAGTGAAGAAACAGGCTGAAAAGGAGGGGGTGAATAGGGTTTTGAGTTTTAGTTCATGTAGAAGCTAAGAACAAGGAGTTCCAGGCGACTACTGCAAAGCAGGTGGCAGGTGCAGGATTTAATGCGATTAGTAATTTGAAAGGAATGTGCAATGCTTGTAAGGAGTCTGGGCAATATGATATGGAGTGACCAGTACTGAAAGAAGTAGTATGTCATTTCAGTAGAAAGAAAGGGCACTTGGCTCGGCTCTGTCCGGCTGAGTGGCAATCAAGCGAGTGCTGCAACATGTGTTGCACTTGAGGGGGCATGCAACACGTATTACTTGACAGTTCCAAAGATAGTGCCTAAGGTACAGGAAGGAATCTGAATTATGATGATGAGAAAGGGCGAATCATCGGTTGGATACACCTTCTTTTCCTCTTCCGACCGAGTGAGATGTAGTCAGGAAGTCCCTGGAACGGGTTTATTTGGGGATTAGAATTTATTTAGTATTAGGGTTTTTTAAAGACTATATTTTGATCTGGGGTTATCCACTCAGACTAAACTGATTGGGAAAACACATTATCAAAACAATAACGTCAGGAATAGTTCAATAAATGAACAACGCCACCCCATATACAAGGGGAGTACGTTGAGATACAGTTATCTTTACGACTTACTACATTTTTAACTGATTTATATGATGTACACTATTGAACATATCCTGAATAGGAATAGATACTAGCAGGGCCCATAGGACCCAGAGTAGTAAAGGATAAGAAAAACATTATAGTAAAAGAGGGAATGAGATGGCTCAGACATCGACAACGGAAATGACATTTCCCGGCGTAGGACGACCAAGAGAAACCGACACAGGCTGTGGTTTTGTTATCAGTAACCCTACTGACAGTATGCCAGCACTTTTGACAAACAGCAGTAGCGTATCAGGGTCAGAAGAGTTTAGAGGAGCTCAAGAAATTGGGAGACACACAAGACGTTTGGGACAATATAACCGTAGACGAAGGACATACGTTCGCCGCCATCTAGACCAGTTGAATGATAGGGTAGAGGTACCAGAAAGCAAAGAGAGGATGACCGAAGAGCCGGACCTGCTGGGAACTACGCCCGGAACTAATACAATAAGGAGTCGAACAAGGAGACATGAAGGGTTGGGTCAAGATCAAAGAAATCCAACAATAACATCGCCATGGACACTAAGGACACTCCCATCACATCGATATATACCGAGTTGGACGTCGACACATCCACAAGAATCACATGAGAAGGACAAGAAGTATGGAGAGGACACAGAATGACACTTACAACAACGTGGAGAGTGAACAACAAAAGTACAGGTAGGTGTACTTGTTCAAAGTCCCTATGACATCAAGAAAGCGGTAGAAACATCGAAAAGGTACATAATAGGGGTGCCCGCAGTATTGTGACAGTTATGATTGTTCTTGGTGTTGCCCACACAGAACAGGTAGAACTCCAGATACACATGAGGGACAATCACTAGAAGTAGGTAAATAGAATAGCAAAAGCAATAGACATTGAGCACACACAAATGCACAGATACAGGACAAAGTAACTAAAACAGGGTGAGCACAGACCAGTACAAAAGGGGGTGATATCGTATAATACACACACGGAGTATCAGCTGCTAGCACATCGATAGATACGCACACGCGTGAGAGATCACAGAAATTGCAGACACATGATTGTAGAACACAAATACATTTCGGAGTAATACAATAACAAAAGATGTGATGCTGTGGGTGAAACATGTGCCAGTGAGAGTGAACATGTTCATGCAACAGTGACATTGTGTACAGTGAGTAATTAGAGCCACTAAGGGGGTTAGGAGTCGTACGAATGAGAGGCGAATGTGAGTTCGTCGGACGGGGATAGAAAGAGCAGCCAACTAACGTGTTTGAGAACAGGCTGGAGAGGCGTCTGAGGGACAACCGGGAAGAGCAGGCGTAGTAGTGAGACGGAGTAATAATAGGCGAGAGTAAGGAGTCCCATCAAGGGAGTAAGGGCACGATCTGACAGAGTAAGGAGCACTCGGTACGACATCCGGGGCTGGCAAGGAGCAAGGCCGATCAAGATGAACATCGTCGAGGCAATAAGATCACGGCACAAGAGCAGGACGTGCACGATAGGGCACAAGAGCAGAACGTGCACGATAGGGCACACGAAGGAGATGTTTCGTACGATGAAAGGAAGAGATCATAGAGACGACGAGTACTTAAGACAAAGAGAGGAGTACCCCCAGCATCACATCGTTTATCTATAACCCGCAAGAACAAGATAATTTAATTATGACCAACACCCGACAGAGTGGTCGGCAACAGCATCTCTCTCCGGAACAACACGAACGAGAGGACATCCATCAACCACTGAACAACCTTGTCGATGAACATCGGACAAATCAGTCGGTACTTCAACGTGCGCTAATGGCACAACAGCATCGTATTGGGAGAATTACGACACCTAGAGATGTGGACTTCACGGAGCAGGAGTCGGGGACCCCCGATACATTGGGAGCGGCACGCCTATCGACACAGAACCATCTTCAGGCAACGATGACACTGAGAAAAAACGTGAGCAACACAGCGGGCAAGCGTCCTCATAACCATCCCAGAGGGGTGAGACGAAGCCGAAGTCGAGACAGCGGTACCCCAGAACAACTGACGAGTCTCCTCCGGCGACAACAATCACTGCTAGAGAAGTATTATCGACGACTGCAACGTCTACAACGTACTACCACACCTCCGATACCAGACAACTTGGAGTTTCGCATCAGAGAGGCAGACCAGCCTCGACACGGGTTAGGTTATACATCGTCGGACCAGGAGGGGAGGTAGTCACCGCAGGAAGAAGTGATCGCTATAGGATTTTAACCGGGCCCGACAGAACCCTCACGGCAGAGAAGCATTGGATAACCGTCGTGATAACATGGAGACATCATTGCATACACAACGACAGGGGGTCGGCAATTCGAGCACGAAGCGGTAAGCGACATGCTACCGGCACAACGGATGCTTGAACGCACACCGTCGAGTCAAGTGGCTTCTGCAGACAAGCCTAGAAGTCTCGACCAGCAGTACACATCCCCTACACCGGAATGTATTGCAGCCGATCGTCAAGCATTACACGCACGGATGCTCAAACTTTGGAGGAACTATGTAGTGCGGTGGAGACTAACAATTTACCGCGAGCAGAGGCGCTACGAGGCGTGCTGGAGACACCACGAGCAACGCATGATTCTCGACCGGCGAACAAACAGGAACCGCGGGAACCACGTAGCTGGACAGAGTGGCCCTCTAACAGATACAACCTTGGTAACATCATGGAGCGCGATACAAAAAGGGCATTACAAGAAGCCCTTAAGAACACACCGATTTTGGATCTCACTAGATGAAGCGTGGAGTTTTCGGTGGTTGTACAAAGTGTTGAGTCATTTCAAAGCCGAACAATTTACGCTTGATTATATTAAATCCAATCATCAACGTCTAGTGGCGTGGACACCGGAGTTGCAGATTACGCAAATTTGTTCACATGAGACTCAGTCAACGGTCGACTCTACATTTCGTAAGCTAGCAAAGAGACATCTCAAACTCAGCAACGTTCCAGTAATAGAGTAGATTACTTATCTTATGGAGAATGATCGTCGAGCACATGAACGCTGTCAAGCCGATGCAGACTTTAAACAGAACTTGTTGAACCACTGCATCGTTCAACTAATGGAGGATACTCTTGGCTCGCGGACATATGGACGCACCTGACAATTACATCTAAAGTGGCAACTGATGGAAAAGCATGAGTTATTGCAGCTATTGAGCCCGGATATCCAAAAGGTACAGATACGGTCCACACAACGGCTAATGAACCGTCGAGGTCATAATGGGAACACAGGCAGGAGTGATACAACAGGCCGACCCAGCCCACACACAGGACAACGTCAGCAACGACAGTGGCAAGAGCGATCAACAGCAACGACTACACCAATGACAAGTAACGGCTACCGCGCACAAGCGCCACCAGGCCTCCGACACATACCACGATGCCATCACTATAGGGCGGCACAATCAGGGATGCAGGACAATAGATCGAGATCGGCAGATACCAATCTTCAGTCGAGATACACATTCGGTACAACGACGACATCACCACAAGGGCAAGGGTACCAACAATCATAGTATCCCAACAGGCAACCGGCGATTACCACATCGACACCACATGTTAACGTGGTCACGCATGATCATCCAGTCCGGAACAGAGATATAAATACATTACATTTTGATGGAGAATGCCGGGCAAGGCGTAGACTCATATTCGACTACACTACAGTCCTCATGGACCCCTTTACCGGAGCAACCCTAAGATATAAGGGTGTCCGATGATGATGTATCACTTACGTTTACACATACACTGCAGGCAGAAATGGCGATCCAAGATCCACTACTGCCTTCCGATAATCGTGTTTACATCCAAAAGTAGATGAATGGGCGTACATTCCGTGCGTTGGTGGACACAGGTGCAAACCTTAGCTGCATTGCTCGGGCATCTGCAGACCTCTTAGGACGACCAATCACAACCGGTTCATTAATATACTTGTCTCACAAGGCAGCCCGAACTCATCGTCTAGGGACAACGGAAGTATTACCGATACATTATGGATCAGAAATCATCAACGGATCGTTCTAACTTATGAATCACCGAACGGCATCGACATTATACTTGGGCTAGATATGATGACTGACTTGGGCTAATACCTTGGAGAGATACAATCACCGCTGACACCGATTGACCCATTAGAACTCGACGACCTTCTCGAACCAATGGCTCGTCGCCAAGCTCCCAACACCAGTGTGCGGGCAAGACTCGCCACAGTTTTAGAAGCAAACGCCGACATTGCGAACAATGCACATTGTCGCTTAGAGGGGAGTGAGGTCGCGATATCAGTAACACGCGAGCAAGCCATGAACATGAGAAGTCGACAAACAAATACAGAAATGGTTGAAAGACTTGGGTGATTAAGAAACATACTACGCCAACGACGGTTAATCTTCCACTACTGGCAGTTCCGACATTCGACAGCGAGGGCAACGTAAAGAACGTGCACGTATGCCTGGATATGCGGGCGGTCAACGAAATGATCCCAGGAGACCAGTTCTTGATACGGAGGGTGAATAATGTCATTTTTCGGTTGAAGAGCAGGAAGCAATATACCACACTCGATATATCAGCAGCATATCATAGACTACCGATACATCCCGATTCTAGAAATGATCAGCTTCACACATGACAGATATCAGTACTCATGCCACACTCGATATATCAGCAGCATATCATAGACTACCGATACATCGTGGTTCTAGAAATCTGTTCAGCTTCACACATGACAGATACCAGTACTCGTTCACATCAGCACCATTCGGTTTACACGTATTGACGCAGCAAATCCAGCGAACGCTCAGTACAATGCTCGATGGACTGCCAGTCCATCACTACATTGGCGACATTGATGATCAAGAGACTGACATACCACAGTTTCAAACTGAATCCGGCAAAGTGTCACTTCGCAATTGCAGAGGTTATGATACTGGGCAAGAAAGTCTCAGCGAAAGGAATTGATGTTGACTTTGAGAAGCAGGCTAAACTACTGGACTGGCCAACACCTCAGCGGTACAAAGACATTGCCTCCGCGTTGGGTCTGGCTAACTTCTTGCACGATTATTTGCCAACTTTGCACATGTGGTAGCGCCACCACGAGAACTCTGTAAATTAAACCTAATGAACTGATAGGAGATAGGTAAGAACAACGCCATTCGGATGCATGGCAAGCAATGAAGGACGCGATAGTTAACGCGGTCGCACTACACTTCCCGATGGATGACGTCCCACTCAACCTCGAGGCAGACGCTAGTGACTACGAACTGGGGGGAGCGCTGTTTCAGTGGGTGGAAAGCAAAAAGCATTACCTCATATTCTTCAGCAAGACCCTCAATCAGGCTCAACAGAACTACACAACACCAATGAAGGAACTCTTAGCGGTAGTCTACGAGTTGACACACTTCCGAGACTACCTCGACGGCCAACGTTTCACGGTGTTTACGGATCATAAGGCATTAGTGTATACGAATAACCAACTGAATCTTAACCGAATGTTGCAGAGTTGGCATCATATCATAGCGCCTTTCAACTTTACAATTTCAAATATACCTGGGGAGAAGAACGTACAGCCGGATATGCTCAGTAGGACACATGAAGGGACTGTGGGGAAAGACGTACCAAAAATTCTGTACGCAGACTGCTGGCAATTATTTCCAGCTATTTCGAACAGGCACAACGTATATTTGGCCACAACAATATAGATGTGTTCGCAGCACCTCATAACGCTCAGCTTTCTAGATGTTGGACTAAGAACGACCGCGACGGTGCGTTTGATCATGATTGGGCGTTGGTACAGTGGGCTTTTATCGGCAGTAAAGGATTATCGGTTTTTCAGGCGAATGTTAATGCAGGCAATAAATTCGTTTTCTTGGCTGTGCCTACGAGCCATGGCGTTACAGCATTTTTGACGCGATGGGGTGAGAAGTTTTAGTATGTGGGCAAGTCCATTGGTCTCAAAGTGGCGTCGTTTGTTTTTCAGCAACTTATGGACGAGATATATTCTAGGGACCAGAATATCAGCAATAACAAAAAGTCAATATGAAACCCAAAACCACAGGATTATCAGATACTGAATTTGGGGGGGGGGAGGGGTTAAGGATACAATATTTCTGATAATAGTGATCAGAAAATATAGCGAGATTACCGGTAGATGGTACCGGGACCCCTGTGTGTGAGAGAAACACTCAGATAGAATTTGAGTCTAGTGTAGAAACACGAAACACAAGCAAGGACACAATGCCAGTCCTTCAGCCGAAAACTTTACCTAGCTGAGAGATTCGCACGTGAGAAGAGGTCTATTGTTTCCTATGGTCGTATCTTTTCAATTTCTCTCAAACTTGTCATTTTGGCACTATCCTTACCATGTTAAGTCGTATAGACTACCGGTTCTACCGCTAATCTTTCTGATGACTCTGATATCAGAAATATTTGAATTCTAATTCCAAAACCGAGTATTTGATGATTCTGTGCCTTTGGGTTCTGGATTGGCTTTGGATAATCTGGTCCCTAGATGCTACTTAAATTAGAGAAAGGAATTGAAAATAGCATCTAGAAAATTTGATTGGGTAATTAGAAAACGTACCCGTAAATTCATATGTACATTTACTGACTTTCCCATGTAGGCCATGTACATTTATAGTATTCCCTTACAATAAATATCACAACTGGTTACAACTATAATGAGACTGCAGTTGCAATAGAAATATGTTTTTCGAAATCTAGGCACCACACTATGGTGATGTGTACTCGATGGGAAATACATCCGAACACATGTGTAAACATAATGGATACCACCGAAATGTTTACAAACACAGGTGTAAATATATAGGTCAAGAATATAACTCAAGAATACAATACAGGTGAATGCAAACAAGCACATACACAAACTTAGATGAGGTCTGTACACGAATCTCAAATCCAGAGACTCATATGCCGCGTATACCTTATGCACGCATTCACATCTTAGATGGCAAGACTTGTGCACATTGAACTTATGTGAAACAAACACACACGCTACTCAAATCCAGAGAATGAAAAACATGACAGACAATACAAGGGCACGACACCAATGTAGACATATATGAACGTCGGGACATACCGGAAGCATAGATATATTTTTGAATGGGAAAACACAAGGCAGAAATATTCTAATATTTTGAATATTGCACAAGCAAGTCACCGTATACACGTTAGAGATACACATATAAACACATTTTGAAGAGTATACATCGAGTCACATAGAGAACAGCTCTCATTCGAACCACGAATAGATGAACCACAAATGTATAACTAGACATGGACTAACACGGACTATATATACAAACACAATTTGTGATTACAAGGAATCACAAAATACGGGTAAGACACGATAACGTAAATTTTGTGTCTCAAAGTACATACCACAAGCAAACGACACTGTATCAAAGTGAGACAGACACGTATATAAAGAACAACACCGACACATGTGCATCTGCTACTGCTATTAACAGGCGAGCATGTCCAAACAGACCTACTGAAGAAGGTACAACTACATCAGTTGTGTGGTGTAGTATCGGACAGCCCCCAACTTCGCTCCGAAACAGAATTGCAGATTACAACCTCACCCTCCTTGGTATCACGTTCAAAATATCTCAGACCGACTCAGTCCATATTATCACTACAAGTGTTGGCCAGCTTTATTCCACGCAATGGCACACAGGTCTTAGTTCTCACCTAATGGTAGAGGTATTCTGGATCCATCGCCGT